GTGATATCGCTATATGTTGCCACTCGTGCGCTGAATGTCAAATGATCCAAAAATCCCAACCACTCGTGGTCCACTACAGCCAATGACGGCCGGCTTTCTGAATTAGATCGTGGGTATCGATATTGTTGGCCTGATGCCAGACTTCTGAACGCCATCGTTACGTACTTATTAAGGTGGACTACTTTTCCAAATAGTGTGAAGCTGTCCCTATTCAAAATATAGACGCCTGGAGTGTGGCACTAGCTTTCTTCAGCAATGGGATGACATGGTGGGGATCACTATATCAGTTACACTCAGACGGCGGAGCCAACTTCTACAACACCCTCATGAGCGTGATGTGTCACATTTTCGACACTCGCGAACCGAACGCTGAAGACGCTGTTATAGGTTTTCCTGACTACTGCGACTCCTCGGGAATGAAACATGGCTTTGCTCAAATGTTTACCGGCTTATCGAGCGTCCGTCCACTCATCGACCGGTCAGACACCACATCACATGATCACGGGTCTTGAACTGCGTTTGCCCTCTGATTCTCTGCTGTCGACGTCACACCATGAAACTAACCGCTTCGGAGCATGTATTTCGGTTACACTCGAGTCTTTTACGAGCACGAAAGATCGCACAAACGCACCTGCAAACCTCGCAGCGTCACCAGAGGGTTTACTTTGACCGGAAGGCTTTCGGGAGTCCGTTCAAACCTGCTAATACGGTCTGGCTCAAAGCAACAGTAACACCACCGGGCGTCCTTACGAAGTACCGTCGAAACTGGGAGGGCCTGTTCGTTGTGGAAGAAGTGTTGTCGGATATAACTAATCGAATCATGAGGCCGGGGGATCCTGGTTCCTCAACGGTTATACACCTCAGCAGGCTCAACCCAGCTAGGGGAGTCGCAGGCGCTGACATTGCATGTTAAAAGGGGGAGCAATGCAACGCGACGCACCATGTTTTAACCCCCTTCTCGGAACCGGCGCGTTTTGCTGTCTTTGTGACTTTGACTGTGGACGCTTACCCCTGTGCTCGGTTGCCCGTAGCTATTCGGCCAATTTTCGGTGTCTGCTTGCCAACTGACTCTCGATGCGTTGCCCGTCAATATTCGTTCTTGTTAGGTAGTTGTCCAGCCGCCTACGTTCTCTCTTTGCTTTCCATTGCAGATCTTCCGGTGACGAATACGGACGAACCTACCACCCTGAGCAGAACTGATATTACATTAGTTTACCCTTCCCCCGGTTGCCATCTACCAACAAACTGGAATAATTAACCGACCGAGGACGCGTTAACATTTCAATAGAAACACTGCCAACCAGAGTAATACCCAGCTTCCAATTGTTATGCCAGTGTCGTCGTTCGATAGAGTATGTTTTGTTCTATATGATCATCTTTGAAATAGATTGTGAACCTTTTAAACGAGGCTTCGCTGGCTGATGATGTGGGTATCAAAGTTACCAAATTGCTCCAAGTTAAGGAGCTTATAATACACCATGAGAGCTCTTTGCTCGACAATTTCTTTGAGGTAATCAGCTTGATAGTGTTAATTTCTCCAGGAAGTTGCAGCCTTTCAACACGACAATAATTTTGAGGTTAAAAAAGTTGTGCTAGGATTTATTCAAGATGCTTGGTACGTTCGTTACTTCTCAGCGCCCTTCGACAAGAATGCTTTTATTGTTCTTAGTTCCATCTACTAGATTTTTACTATGTTTATCTAATTTTCAATTTGTTCCACAACGGTCTCATACTATGTCTCGTGTCCCATTCATCACGATTAGCCGCTAAGTTTACGCGGTTATGGCCCATGGATGGTACCCGATCCTAGTACCACCACTCGCCTCGATGCGATTAATTTCGGGCAATATCTGCCGCTGATAAAACCGAGTCTACTCCTATGTACTCATTACCGTGTGTGACGCTCTAAGAATCTGCGCGGAGACATTTGTGCCCTAGAATATACGTTCATTGCAAGCTGTTTTTGTCGTCCGAAATTTGCCTTACGTACTGGCCAGAAGTGGGAATATCGTCCATCCTATTAAGCTAATCTGCCACTTCTGCTGAGTGTGACTTTGCTGGCTTTGTCGCTCAGATTTCCAATTTTGTTACGCATCCTTTATTGAGCTCGCTTGCCAACACTTGTTCACCACTTTATATGTTTTTGATTTTAGGATCATGTTGTCTCCTTGCACTTAGGAGTAATTATGCGTTAGTTATCCTTGACTACAGATGACTCCGGATTCGAAATTTAACTGGTTGGAAGCAGCAAGAAGAGGTATCTCTGTGTAGCTGCATCTAATGTCACTCAGGGACAAAGACCCGTTATGTTGGGGTGCGCTCGATATATTTTATATCGGCAAAGTGTTTGTCCAGGAATTTCTTAAATTCCGACACCGACTTTGCCTCAACTACGTGCTGCGGCAGGTCGTTCCATACATTCACCACTCTCCGTTCGAAACAGAGTTGGTGAGCGACCCGCTTCAAATCCGGTACGACAAGCTTGTACCGGTGTCCTCGTGTGCTGCTTGGTGTGCGCAGATGAAGCAGCGGCCTCAACATGGGTAATCACCCAGATGTAATATCCGGTGCGTCATGATGAGGTCAACCCGCAGTCGACGATAAGCTAGGGTGTAAAGCCCTAGTTTCTTACACCGGTCTTCGTACGGCACACCTCGTAAATTGGGAATCAGCCTGGTGGCTACATGCTGCACTCGCTCAATCTTTTCTACCTCGCCCGGGTGATAGGACAATACGCGGGAGAGCCATACTCTAGCATTGGTCGTATTATTGAGACGAAGAGGCGAGTGGCAATCTCTTCGGACCAAGTGCTGAAGCTGCGCCTGAGCGCCCAAAGCATACGAAGGCTGTTTTGGTAAAGCCTATTCGTGTTGTCCATGGACTTTAGGTCGTAGCGTGAGAGTACACCGAGGTCTCGCACGAAAGGCGCGGGATGCAACGGTTGACCTGCCACCGTGTAGGTTCGACTGTGCTCACACTTACCCAGCCTCATGAATTGCGACTTGACCGGGTTGATCGGAAGGTTGACCTCTGCAGACCACGTGGAGAGGCGGTCGAGGTCCTGCTGAAGCAGGTCACAGTCATTGGGTGTGCGGATTACTCTCCACACCTTCAAGTCATCTGCGAACAACGCACAAGGTGATTGGAGTAGCTGAGGCACATCGTTTACATGGATCAGAAACAAAATCGGCCCCAGTACAGTGCCTTGGGGCACGCCACTGCTCGATGGATACCAGTCGGTCAAATGGTTGTCGACCTGGACCCTCCACTTTCGATCAACAAGGAAATTCTTGATCCATCGATGCAGCGAGCCGCCAACACCGCACACCCTCAGCCTGTCGAGGAGCACTGCATGATTCACCTTGTCAAAAGCCTTACTGAAGTCAATGTAAATGACGTCGACCGACTTGCCTTGGTTCAGCGCTTGCAACCATTCGTGCCTCGTCAACAGTAGGTTGGTGATGCACGAGCGACCTTTCACGAAACCATGCTGTGCGGGCGTCAAGAGGCTTTTCGACTCGAGAAGCTGCAGAAGACTCTTCTTCACGATCTTCTCGAGCGTCTTTGCCAAAACAGCGGTCAGGCAGATCGGCCGGTAGTTATCCACTTTGCTTGGGTTACCACCTTTCGGTATTGGCTTTACGACTGAGCATTTCCAGTCGCCCGGTAATAGTCCAGTGGATAGTGACCTGTTGAACAGCTCAGTTACAGAAGGCGAGATGATGGCCGATAGGGACTTGAGGATCAGTGGGTGGATTCCATCTGGCCCGGCAGGCTTCGTCCCGTCAAGACTTGCCAGAAGCTTGCGTACATCTTCAATGCTGCAATCCAGGCTGTCTAGTTCAGCGGGAGCGGTACTCGTCGAACTCGGTACAGACACCTGGTCACTTGCAAATACGGAAGCGAAGTGCGCCGCCAATGCGGACGCACGATCTGTGCTCGAGGTTAGGGGCTGTCTATCTGAGGCTTCAAACAATGGCACATTGCATGCAGGCCTCAGACGCCGCTTCACGTAAGCGAAGATTCACTGGGGAGCAGTTATTGCGGCGGCTGCAAGCTGTTCTTCAGAGCCTATCCGCTTTTTTTGTTTTCCCGCTGTTGCAAAGATTTCGCTGTACCGTGTACGCCTTGTAATCTTCGTCAGAGTCAGATGACACGAATTTGTTCCATAGTCTGTCGTCGTCGGGCCAGTTTGCTGTACTTCTTGTCGAACCAATGTGGCTTGATTGGCCCAACTTTCCGATACCTAAGGGGCACAAATCGGGCGCGCAACGATTTCACTCCCTCTTTAGTGATAGTCCAAAAGGTTTCAACAGACGAATCCTCTAGTAACGACCAGTCCATCTGGCTCGCTGCTCAAGTGAGGCCATTAAAGTCCGCCTTCCAATTGAAGACTGGCTCCAGCAGGGAGAATACGACAGCGGCTGTTCCAAGCTGGCTATGACCATCAAGTGGTCACTCGCTCCAAGAGGCTCCAAGACATGAATGTCATGCTCACGTTGCTCACAGCTGGTCAAAAGCAGGTCTAAGCACAATGGAGTCGCACGCTGGTATTCGCGTCTGTTGCCTGATGTGCTGTGTGGCCCCGGTTGCAGATATCGACTCCGAAAACTTCCACTTGACTTCCCAATGGCCAGGAAGAAGTCCAGCTACAGGCCACTGTATTCGAGATAAGTTAAAATCGCTCATGAGTAGGAACAGCGGACTACTCATATGGTTGCGGACATGCGGTAACCAGTCCAAGCAGCAGCTCGGTGGACTGCGCTATACCACGCCCACGAGCATCTCGCAGCGTCTGAGGTGAATCGAACACCATAACTATTCACATAGACCATCATCGCTTCGGTCATCATCATCATCAACAGCAGTACATCAGCCATTTGAACTGATGCTTCGCTGCCATACAACCATGAGGACCTATGAAATAAAGAATAAGAAGAGGGAGAGAAGGGGGACTTACCTGAAAACCTTAATGCCCTAAGCAAACATTCAGGGTCAAGGCGCCTACACCTTGTGTAGACAACATACCGTCACAAACAGCTGGCTATCGTGCAAAGATAAGGCGGCATCGGCGAGACAGCTTCCTTGCGGCTTTCACTGCCACGCGTCATAATCAGCCATTACCCAGCAGATAACTCAGCACCAAACACACTTTAAACAGGCAATCCGATTAGGAGACGGCAGCAGACGCGCCACTGGTGTCGGTTGCGAGCCATGTCCTGTAAAGTCTCGAGCCAAGCACAAGGTGCGTCACGTGGACTCCAACCCGGAAGGCGAGACGGACCAACGGCACCCAGTTTGGTCGTCAGTGACTTCATTTCCCGCTGCCAAGTCAACTTCTGTCCACCTCGAGCCTTGCGCCATCCGACACCTGGTAGACTGAACAAGGCCCTCCTAGGTAAGCGGTGACCAGGCATGCGTAGCACGTGCCCGAGCCAACGCAACTTATTCAGTGCTATCTGTTGTTCTAGGGAGCTAGCATGATCATCACCACCTAGTACTCGCCTACGCACATCATCGTTGCGGACACGCTGGTGCCATCCGACACCAGCAATGCTTCGCAAACAACGATGATCAAAGACTTGAAGGCGCCTCAGATCTTCAGACCGAAGGGGCCAAGTTTCACTACCATAGAGCAGAACGGCCCTCACTGTGGCCTTGTATACACGGCCTTTCAGACGGAGGGAAACTCCCTTCTGTCGCCAAAGATGACGCAGGTTCAAGAAGGCAGCTCTGGCCTTTGCAATGCGTGAGCTCACGTCAGTTTCTATGCGCCCATCATTGCTGATGCAGCTGCCAAGATAAGTGAATTGATCAACCACATCGAGTTCCTCGTTAGCAAGCGTCAAGGGGTCATCGAGTGGCTGGTGATCCTGCAGCAACACTTTGCACTTTGAAGGTGCGAAGTGCATACCAAATAATGGGACCACTCTGGATAGGCTATTCAGGGTTGATTGTGCCGCCTCAACATTGTCGAAAAGCAAGACGATATCGTCCGCATAATCTAGATCAACTAACCGTTCACCAGGCAGCACTTCAACACCTACATCGTGAGATTCCGCAAGGGAACACTCCATGATAGAATCCACGACGAAATTGAACAAAAACGGGGAAATCGGGCAACCCTGTCGAACGCCACTTGTAGTCGAAAAGCTATCCGATAGGGCACCATAGACCCTGACGCGGCCTCTAGTGTTCGAGTATAGAGCACGAAGGATGTTCACATATTTCGTGGGAACACCTTTCCGCGCAAGTATTTCGAACAGAATCGATCGATCGACTGAATCGAACGCACTCTTGAAATCGAGGAACACAGCTATTGTCGGTCTGCGGTATGCGTGGCGCTGCTCTAGCACCTGCCGCAAAGTAAATATATGGTCTATACAGCCACGTCCTGGGCGAAAACCGGCCTGCTCTTCTCTAATCCGAGATTCCCGTTCTGCAGTGAGGCGACGAACGATAATCGAGGCCAGTAATTTTGTCACAACTGGCGTTAGGCTAATACCCCTGTGGTTCGCACAGTCTGTGCGACTGCCCTTCTTGTATATTGCCACTATAATCGATTCGCTCCAATTAGCTGGCACACTCTCTTCGTTCCAGATACGTTCGAATAGG